CATCTGCTGCCAGGCTGACCAGCCTGATGCCTCACACCCTTCCTACTAACTTCTAGGAAGTAGTTCAAGGCCAGGACAAAGTGAACCCACTGTTTTCACTCAGCTGATTCCCAACCGAGATCTCCAGCCTCACAGCTTCTGTTTGCTTATAACCAGAGCCCAGAAATTCCAAAGGGTTTAGGTTTGACCTGGGGTTGTGGGCCCAGCCTAACCTCCCCTCAGCTGGACTCTGGAGATGAGAGGGCATTTCCGAGTTTGAGCAGAGCTGGGAGGGCGTGGGCAGGAAGCGCTCTCCGCTCAGCTCAGTTCGACAGCCCTCCTCGTCTGGTGGACAGAAACCGCAGGGCCTGGGGAAGGAGGCCAGTCAAGACCTGTCAGGGCTCCAGCTACAGGTCCACTGCCGTAGTCTCTGAGGCCAGAAATCTTTATGAAAGCAGACCATCCCGTCCTTCTCAGTTACAGGATTCACTGTTCCCCGGAAGGGTTGAAGGTGTGGGCAAGGAGGTCCCTCAGAAGAAATGCCAGGCAGTGTGCGTCCCAAAATATCAGCCCTCAACCCCTGCACAGAGAGCACGTGGAGCCCAGCGCAGGGACCACTGGTTGTTTCTCTGATCCACGCACACGCGCCTGGCCAGGAAACAGAACTTGGTTTCTGATATCGCACAGGCCGGTCCCGCCTTTCCAAGTGTGCAGACAGGAAAGCTCACAGTCAGCACACCACATGGTTTCTAAACACATCGCTGCAGGGGACACAGGGCCTCCTTGTGTTCAAAGAGCACGCGCTTCTCTCCCAGACAGGGACAAACCCAGCAGGGGCGGAGCAGGGAAGAGGCGGCATCCGGAAGTGCTTGTCCCAGCCTTTCCCAGGGATGCTGTTCCCACAGGGACAGAGAATAAGTTCAAAGGGACCTGAAGGGACAATGAGCCCCAGGCCCCAGCACTCACGCCCTCCCACCCCCGAGCGCAGGTGGAGGGAAGAGGATTTCCTCTTTGCCCGGCTTGCTGTGTGGAGGCTCCAACGTGGGGTCTTCAGACAAAATGGACCATAAAGCACGTTAGCAGGTGGCCCGGTGGCTAAGTGCTAGCAGAAGGTCAGTTCCGCTCTGCCTGTGGGGCCCCGAGGAGTCGGAACCAACTGGACAGAGGGGGTCTGACGTGTCCTGATCAGCTGGGCAGTTCTGGAGGCCTAGTGGACAGAGAGCTGCACTGCCAACCCAGACACAAGCAGCATGAACCAGCTTTCCCAGAGGGACGCAGACGATGTCCTCTCGTCATGGCTGCTGAGAGCCCACTGGACGGTCAGCTAGGCGTCGGCTCTGACTTGACAGCTCTGAGGGGTTTTGACAGACAGCTGGCTGGTGCCTGCTCAGGCAGTTTGGGTGTCGGGGACACAGGGTGAGCAGGATTTAGAGCTGACTCCACAACCCGATGGATGACGTAGGTGTGCTAGATGCCCATTTCACAGGAGGTTAAAGTGAGGCCAGGAGATTCTAGGACTTGCCCTGTTCCTGTGCAGCGGGGTCCAGGCGGGACCGTGGAAGCCCGGTGCTCACCGCTGTGCTCAGCGCCCTCCCCGCCTTTTGCAGCACCAGCTGTGGAGAAGTGACAACTTGCTGACCGCTTGGAGACACTTGAGCCCATATGCAGGCGCAGAGCAAGCTGGACGGCAGTGGACACGCTCCCCACATCCGCCAAGGTCCTGGAGGCCCGTCCTGCCCAAGACTCCCCAGGGAGCCAGGGGGCCTCGGAAAGGAGGAAGAGAGCTTCCACGGGACAGTCTTCAGTGGGGTGACTCGGCCCTGCCGGACCTACCCATGTCTGCTGTCACCCTGGCGGTGCAGTGGTTAAGTTCTCAGCTCCCAGCACAAAGGTTGGGTGTTCGAACTCCCCAGCCACTCTGTGGCAGGAGGAACCGCTCCTGTAAACACTGGATCCCTGCAGACCCTCAAACTCATGGCCAGTAAATCTTAACAGGAAGACAGTGCCCATCTTTCTCCAGGGAGCTGCTGGTGGGTTTGAACTGCTGACCTTCAGGCTAGCAACCCAATACATAAGGCACTGCACTACCAAGGCTCTACAGCGTCCCATGCAGTCACTATCAGTTGGAATCGACAACAGAAAACCAAAGCAAATCCACTGGACATTTGACGTCTTACTGGCCTTGACCATTATTTCTAATAGCATTCATAAACAGCCATGCAATCCCAAAGGCACATGGTTCGAATTCACCAGATGCTCTGCTGGAGAAGGATGGGCGGTCTCCTCCTATGCCAGTCAGATCTGACTCGATCATACACGACAACAAAAATAAAAATAAAGTATCACCAAAAAAGTTCAATTTAAAAAATGTTGGGGGAATTTGTTGCTACGTGCCTTCCTGTTGGAACAGACCCATGGCTGACCCTCCAGGGGCTTGTCAGAGGCTGTAAATAGCACAGGAGGAGATTTCCCTCAGAGCAGCTGGTGGATTCAAACCATCTATCTTCCATACAATTGTTTAGGTTTTTAAAATAAACTCCCAGACAGAACTCTACAGAGATGTTTGTGTTTCTCGCCTAGTCAGAACTGCGAGAATAAATGACTCCACTACATACAATAAATGACTCCAGCTGAAAAGGCCCCAGAGATGCATCCTTGAGGGATGAACCCAGACACGCATCCTTGAGGAGTGCACCCAGATACACATCTTTGAGGGGTGAACCCAGACACGCATCCTTGAGGGGTGAACCCAGACATGTATCCTTGAGGGATAAACACAGATACGCATCCTTGGGGGGTGAGCAAGGACCAGACCCAGAAGGTGCTGTGACAATATCACCAGTAGATGGCAGTGTTTGCTAAGGGTTAGCGCTCTGGATGGCAGGAGTGGGGTTTTCTTAACTCCAAAAGGCATAGAATTGATGGCCATTTTTCATGAGTAAACTAGCACGTTATCATATGAAAACGGAGCAAAACTCCCTCTTGGGGCCACTACAGCGGTCCAGGCTGGTCCTGCAGGTCCCAGGTCCCTGTTCCCCTGCAGTAACTCACTCCCCCTGGGCTCTTGGCTGGGAACACTTCTCCAACCTGCAGGGCCCCTGGTTCCACTCTGCCCACCTCTTTCCCTTGCCCCTCCACAGTGGTAATTTTGCAGGTCCACGCACTACTACCAGCCAGCATTGGGCTGGATGTCTCCCTGGCCTCAAAGCTATGTGGTCACCCGCCACAGGTGTTTGCAGGTAAACCAGGCAAACCTGCCTTTCCCCATGGGAGGAGATCCAGCCTTAGCTGCTGTGGGAGACAGAAATGGAAACTGGTCTACACAGTAAATTGATCCTGGGATAGAATGATTAGAAATATTGGTACACATCTGGGGCTCAGAGGGCTAAGGTTTAAATACAAAATCGCTGAAGGACCCTGCACATCACGAATCCTCAGCACAGAACCAAAGTGTTGAGAGCAGAGACTCTGACCTCCTCTACCAAAGTCCATGGCAGCATCGTTTACAGTAGAAGAATGGTGGCAATGACCCCCGTGTCCATCAGTGGACAGTGATACGCAGGAACGTGTGTCTATGGACCAGCTGAGCCCCACCTTGTGGGTGGTGACTTCACCTGCTGTGTCACAGTGACTCCACCAGGCCTTTGTCCAACATATCTCTGGATGGACCAGAACCTGCAACCTCTCGGCTGGCAGCTCAGTGTTAACTGCATAACTGGAGATTCTGTGCAGCCTACAATGAAACAGTATTCCCAAGTAAAAATCAGCAACAAGGGCAACCCTCAGGAATAACGTAAGAAGAGAAAGCCGGACACGGATTAGACGATTCCATTTATAAGAAGCATCTGCAAGGCGGAGGAGGGGACAAGGGGGAAAAAAAAAGAAGAAGCATCTACAATAAGCACATGTGCGGAGACTGAAGTTCACTGGTAATTATCAGGAACGGAAATGGAAAGTTTAAAATAGGAAGAGAAAAAAAAGATGAACTGTGTCAACTGTCTTACTCCAGAAAATGGAGCCACGGGCTGCCTTGCAGGTCAGGGTTCTGGTCCCCCCGCGGTTGGACAAGCTGCAGAGGACCTGGCCACGCCTCAGTGGGCTGTGCGGGGACAGGGCCCGTGCAGGAGGAGGTGTGCGCCCAAAATGCGCTCAGGAAGCACACTCACGCAGAGATAAGGGGAAGGGCTTATCAGACCCCCTGGCTGCATCTGATCCGCTCCCGCAGGGCCCCCCCGCAGTCCCCTCCCCCCCGCAGGCCCCAGGTAAAGAAACCCCTCTGGGTTCTCCAGTTGCCCCTGCTGAGGGTCTGGAGCCCCAGTGGGTAGACTGGACACAGACAGCTTCTGTCCTCCAAGCCCAGGTACCTGAGAGATACAACCCCATAGCTGCATCTCCTCATGCTCGCCAGCAGAGTGCTTTAGGGTACACTGGGGTGAGCGCCCCGGGCGGCCCCCACCGCCCTTTTAGGTCCTCTTTCACATCTTACCTGCGAGGCCTGGCCACCAGAGCGTGGACAGCGGCTATGTTCCCCAAGGAACACTGCTTGCTTGAACACCCTCTCATAAGCCTCCAGGCCTGGGGACAGTGGGGTCCCTAGCACCGCACTTGATGCCCCACAGAGCTGCCCTCGGGTAATCCAGAGCAGCGGGGAGCAGGACGCCAGACCCCGCACAACAGGGCCAGGTGGCAGCTGCGCGCCCACCTGGGGTCAGGCCCCGGGGAGCCACGCAAGGCCGGACCTGCAGGGGACTCCACGCGGGCGAGACGAGGCCTCTCTGGCTGTGGAGGCGTGGCCCTCGCGTGTGGGCGTGGCCTCGGAGCGCGGGCTGAGGCAATGCGGAGGCGCTTGGCCGCGAGTGGGCGGGGCCGAGGATGTGAGCGGCGGGCGCGCTCCGGGGGCGGGGCCGGCAGGTGGGCGGGGCCTGAGGCGGCCTATAAGGCGCGGTGCGCGGGTGACGCACACACTGCTTCTGCCGCTGGCCGCGGCGTCTGGGCTCCTGGTGCGGACGAGCGGCGGCAGCATGGCGGGCCCGGGCCCGAAGCGGCGCGCGGCGGCGGCCACGCCGGCCGAGGAGCAGGAGCGGCGGGCGCAGGAGCAGATGCTGGCGGCGGGGCCCGGGGACGGCGAGGGCGTGACGCTGCAGCGCTCCATCACGCTGGTCAACGGCGTGGCCATCATCGTGGGCACCATCATCGGCTCGGGCATCTTCGTGACGCCCACCGGCGTGCTCCGGGAGGCCGGCTCTCCGGGGCTGTCGCTCGTGGTGTGGGCCGCGTGCGGCGTCTTCTCCATCGTGGGCGCGCTCTGCTACGCCGAGCTGGGCACCACCATCTCCAAGTCGGGCGGCGACTACGCCTACATGCTGGAGGTCTACGGCTCGCTGCCCGCCTTCCTCAAGCTCTGGATCGAGCTGCTCATCATCCGGCCCTCGTCGCAGTACATCGTGGCGCTGGTCTTCGCCACCTACCTGCTCAAGCCGCTCTTCCCCACCTGCGCGGTGCCCGAGGAGGCGGCCAAGCTGGTGGCCTGCCTGTGCGTGCGTGAGTACCGGGGCGAGGAGGGCGCGCGGCACGTGGCCGGCTCCAGCAGCACCCTGCACCCCCGGACCGTGCGCAGGCCGGCCCAGGGTCGCCGACCACGCGCCCCCCACGCCCTGGGGCGGCCTGCAGGTGTCCCCCGGCTCGGGTCGCTGGTCTGTGTGTGGGGTCTGCCCTTCTTCATTGACTCGCGTGGCCCCGGGGACACAGCAGGGAGAGCAGGGTGTCTGGGCCCCTGCTCCATGCACTCCCCAGCCTCCCCGAACCCATCAGGGCTGCTCCCCACTTTGGGGGGCCCCCTGAGCTCCCCGAGTGGGAAGCCGCAGGCGCTGCTGAGTAATATTTGCTGTCTATTGCATTAGCACCCACGTGGAGAACCTGGGCGTTTGGTTTCCTGTTCAGAGCGCTGGAGAGCTGACTGGCTGTTAAGAGGAAATAGCTTCCTTTTAAAAAATTTCATTCATTGCGGCTCTCCTGGCCAGCCCATCAGGCTGACTTATGGCGGGACTGATTTAGGGAACAATAGTGGTGGCTGCTGGCTACCTGGGGAGAGGGCGGGCTCCTTTAACCCCCACCCCTCCCCGGAGATGCCTAGTGCTCAAAGAGGGGCGCTGGCTGGGATGATGAAATCCCTGTGAGGGTTGCAGGTGAGAGGGCGGCGTGGGCTCCCGAGTTGTAAATGAAGCCAAGAAGCAGTGGCCTTCTGATAAGTTGGAGCTGACCCTCGAGAGCTCCTGGACAGGTCTTCCTGCTCAGAGAGCCAGCATGTAGCTTCTCCGCCAGGAAAAGTTGCACGTCAAAGTCGCATATCGTTGGATT